CGCTGTCACTACACTGGGGGGAAACTGTACTTCTAGCCTTGCTGTTTTTTAAAACTTGCCATCAAAATGTGGACAAAAGGAAAACACATCCAAATGCCCTTCTACATAAAAAGAGGCCAAAGCCTCACGAACCTCCGAGTCTCCCGAGTGTCCGAACTAAAAAAGGGAGGCAGGGGGCTGAGCCACAGTTGTCCTGGATTTGTATTCCTTTTTACCAGCATACCCAAACTCTTGCTTATAAATTCTTATAAATTTCGACCCCCAACTCTCTGAAAAGGATTCTCATGAGTACTTGCAAAAAAGGTCACAGAATTGTTCTACAGTTCTGTGTTCATATATATCAGTAAACATCAGTGTGAATGGGAAAAGCAAATGGGCATGCCAGTTAGTTACCTGATCACTAACAAGAATGTGAATACCAGTGGGACCCTGTCTGTAAACCTGGTTAATTTGGTGGAAAGGAATATTAAACACCAGCGCAAGTTTTCGAGCAACTTCTGAGGCAACCATTTCTTCCAAGTAGATTGCGTGATAAACTGAAAAGAAAAAATAATAACAGTATTTTAGTAATAATTTTTTATCTGTTTTCTACCTGGGTCTATAGGAAGATTACACCTTTCAAAATACTAATACACACACGTTTATAAGTATGTGTGTGTGTATATCTATATACTTCTTCCCCCTTTACTACTCGTCTGAAATATAACACATTATTTATGCTCATACATATAATTTAATAAACATGAACAGTAATCTCTGTACAAAGGGATTTCAGGTTTTAATTTTCTTAAAAACAAACGGAATGACTGCACATGGGCACAGGATCTCTCTGGAGCAACGGAACTAAAACTGGATTTAGTCTGTGGTAATGGCTATAAAACTGTAAATATTAAAATGTCACTAAATTGTATACTTACAATGGGAGGATTTTATGGTATATAAATTATACCTGAAAGCAGCTGTTTTCAAAAGTGATGTTTCTAACAATATATCTTATAAAAAAAAAAAAAAAAACCCTAAAAAGGTCATAGTTATTGATTCACTAATCCTATGACTGGGAATTTATCCTGAGGAATAAATGCTGCCTCTTCCTACTTTTGCTCCCCCAAAGAATGAAGAACAGTTTAAAGGTAGCTCATGAAAAGCTAAGGATGTGCACAGTGGAGCCTGCAGCTCCTTTACAGACAGTCCCTTAGGTGCAGTCCACCCAGTGTCCCGGGTTTCTGGAACACATAACTTAGCAGCAGCCATTGTCTGCACAGAGCCAGGCATATCTGCAGTGAGTGTGACTCTTGTAGGTCCAGCTCAATTACTGATTCGAGCCAGAAACTGATCAGTAATATCATGCTAGAACTTTGCTTTCCCAAACAAGGATTTTTTTTCTTTTATGTGTGTTTATAAATGTAGAAACCTTTGCTAATTACGCATTATGGAAAGCTTAGAACTTGGAACTACAATTAGGGTAAGACTACAGAGATGATATAGAGCAGGGTCTCTAAACTATAGCCTCTGGCGGGCCAAACTCGTGGCCCTCTACTTGTTCTTTTAAAACAAAATGTTATCAGAACATGGCCACACCCATCATATACATATTGTCTGTGGTGATTTTGGCACTGCAACTGCAGAGCTGAGTGAGGAAGAGCCCTTAGTGTCTGCAAAATCAAGATATTTACTACTGGCCATCAGCAGAAAAAGTTTGCCTACCCCGATCTCGGGTTAAGTTCGCCAAAATTTCCACACACTCCTCCACAAACCTTGTAATGTTTTGGAAGGTGTCTGAGGATGTACCTTCCAAAACATTACAATCCTGACCACATGCAAATGATATAGAAGATCCAGATACACTGATTGCTCCTTTAGAATCTCTAAGACTAAGACTTTGTATCTTTAGTCTTAAAATTCACCGTTTTTGAAGTCAAAATGATACCAAGTGGAAAAGTAGTAATGCTTTCCTTGGGATTTTTCTGTAACTTTTAAACTACAAAGTATTTTTCAGAGCTCTACCCAATATTAGGGCAAATAACTACTTCTCTGAAGTCCATAACACATTTTTCTGCGAAAAGTTCTGAGTGCGTTGTCCTTATCTTCTTTCAGAATGTGGGAAGAGGGAAGAGATTACCATATACTCACTTCGCAAATGAGAAAACATGCTTTCCCCCGCCAAGGACCACATTAGGAAGAAGGGAGAAGAGCCAGGATTTTTCTCTCTGCCCTAATCCAGTATTCTATCTATTATACAATTAAGGAAAACCTGCAGGATGATGAAGCCCTCGTAATAATACTCAGATGGATAATGAATGACAGAGCATATTTACAATGACACAAGGACACGGCACCAGACTCACCACACAGAACTCAGGCCAGATGCTTGTCTAAGACAAGTCCACACACTTAGCACTGATACACAGATACGTCTTTGCACATGTGATATTTAAAATTTTCTCCACCGGTCAGTAAAGTGGATAAAAAGAAAAAAACCCTCCAGCTTCCCTGCCAAGTTGCCAATGTTACATTCATCACTGAATGTGAGGGGTTTTTTTTAAGCCGACAAAACCCCAAAGCATTCAAGCTAGTCTTTCGCTTGTTCGATATTTCTGGCAGGGCCACATAAAACAAGAGATCCACAGTGTGGCTGAAATAACTGAGAAAGGCCGCTAGGTCCCTCTTCTTCAGAGGACTTGGCCCTAGAGCTCACTGCTGCCAGGACTCCTGCATCAGCAACTAGACAGTCCTATGTGGCAGGAGTCCTTCAAAGCCCCTTCAGGCGCTTCCCATTTCTGCCTCAGTGTTCGAAAGGGAGTGACAGGAAGCTGAGATGCCCTCAATACCCACCGTAGGGTGTCCCACTGCCATTCTCGCCTCCACTGCCTGCAGCCTGCTGCTGCCCTTGCAACAGTGTGCTGCTTGGCTGCTCCTGGCAGACATAGAGGGTTAAGCGGGGCCTAACCGACCTGCAATCAGAAGATGCCACTCATGAGAGAAAGCTGCCTCACCGCATGTACGGATGACAACTACAGGAATCTAAGTTCTATTTCCTTATGAGAACTTTACAATGTTATTTCATTATACAAAATAATTTATTAATAAAAATATAAAAACACACACCTCACACCAACTATCACAGGTGGTCTAATCTGATGATCCAGACTCTAAACCATTGAGATGGTCTGTCAGATGCTGGTAAATTTAAGTTTCAAGATTAAGTCAGCAATTTAAAATCAGTAAGGTTTAAATTTAACGGAATTCTCACACAAGTCTAGAAACAGCAATGATAGTAAATGGATCTTAAAAGCCAGCACAGTGTACGGTTCTTTCATTTTAATTTACAATTAGAAGTTTACATTTTAAATAACTGTTTAGTAGTCATATGACCTTGAAAACCATAGATTCTGTATAGCTCACCTAAATGAGAAGTTTGTTTTCTTGGCAACAAACCCAGTCGTCTTCAAGAAATCAGTACTGCCCATGTGCATTTCTACCAGTCTTACAGTCTACCTCTGCCCCCATCAGTGCCTGCATCATATCTGGGCCTGCCCTGAAGGTGCACACAAAACAGTCTTCTTGTGAGCACGACGCTGCCCATGCTCGACAGCGCGCACAGGCACACGCCCACCTGGTGTGGAAATACATTCTGCCCCAACTCCCCACACAAAGAAAGGGGCATTCTTATTTCAGGCAAAACAGTTCCTTTAAAACACAGTATTTTACCTTGACTTCAGTGAATTATAGAGCCGAATTCCATCGGCTGCACCACAAATTTGTACTAAATCCTCCTTTGTCAGTTTTAATAAGTCGGCACCTGGAGAACAGCAAAAAGAGATTCTTCTAAGAAATGGGAAAAAAACTACCAGCAGGACTATCTTTACGCAGTTAAAAATCCTTCAAAACCATCGCAGGTCGCCTGTGTATATACACATATACATGAACGACACAAGAATACGTACACACACCCCTGTCTCTCAGAGCCAAAGAAAACGCTGGCTCTTCCATGTCTTGTGTCAAGAAGGAGCGCAGAAGCCCAGAAGGTAGCGAATCAGATCAACGAGCAGGACACACAGGACTGCCTGTTCCAAGAGATGATTTCACCGCCTGCAATATTTTGGCTGCATTGTGGTTGTGTGGATAAGCAGGAGTCTGATTCCAGATAACTTACCTTGAGATCACCTAGAACAATTTTTTATTTCACAGAAAGAGGAAATGGAAGTCTTGGGTTTTGGGGACTTTGCCTCAAGTCACATGACTTGGTAGGAGAACTAGGAATAGGCCTTTTTTCTGAAACATGCAAAGTCAAACATTCTATAACATAACTCTGTCACAGCAGCCAGTTTTAATACAAAAGCATGGCAGACAATAGCATACTATACCTTAAGATTTCCCTCATAAATACTTGACAAGTGTGAATGACATGGTATGCAGGATTTGCTGTATAACACAACAGAGAAGGGGAAGAGAGCAAGTCTGACCAAAGGCTGATCATTTTTGAAGCTGGGGATGGTTACATGGAGTTCATCATATTCTTCTACTTTTTATGTTTGAATGCATCCATAATCTTTTGTTTTACCCTTTATTAACATTCAAGATGTAGTTTATTGGGAGAATTAAGAAACCCTCTGGGATTAAGGCATGACTTCCATATGATAAACAACCGCTTAAGAAAGTAACAAGGTAACGGGATTATCTTACTATTTTTGAGAACCTGCATGTGAGTGCCTAACAATCTTACAGTTTTTAAAAGAAATAAAGACCAGAGAAGCACACTGCCCATAAGGCATGAGCACTGATGGACTCAGTTAACAGACCGGTTCTCTCATCTGCCCCCTGGGGCCGACCACGAGCCTCTGAAAACAGGCCTCACGGCTGTGACCAGAGATGTGTGTATGCACATCCTTAATCCTGCCACAGAACTGGACAGATGCTCATGTGCACAACCCCTTCTGAAAGGTGGACGGCCAAGAGGCTCAGAGCAAGAAGACACCTCTCCTCCTCACCATTCTATTGCTGGGAAGCTCACAGGGTAAAGACAAGAGGCCAAGTCACATAATCACTAGTCAGAGTGAGAAGAGCTTAGAACTCTCTAGATGGAAACACGCAACTGTCTAAGGTAAGAGGCACAGCCTGGGACCGCCCTTGGTTGCAATGCTCAGAGCTTTTTGTATGTTATATTCTTCGTTTGCCTTATAAGGTTTCAAAATGCATTCCCCCTGACACACTAAAATTTCTAAATTTCCAGTTTTTCACAGATAAGATGTTTTACTTACTCATTTAGAAATATGGCTGGTAGCACATGACTTTCATGCAGTACTTTAAAGACGCAGAAAACTAGGAGGGGACTGACTAATCATCGCATAAGCATTGCAATAAATGGCTGAACAAGAATAGGAAATCTTGTTCTTTGTGAAATCTAGGCCATGTATGGGAACACATATGTTCTGTCCCCTTAAAAGGCTCGACATGCATTTTTATGGCTCCACCGCACTGTGGCAAAGGAAAGCTGACTGGCACTTCACTGTGGCCCAGCGTTTCTCAGGACATGTTAGTAAGGTTCTGCAGGAACATCTGGGAAATGCTGCCCCTGCCCCACCTGGTATATCTACTACTGTCCCTCCAAACAGGTTTCCTGCTGCACCATCTGCAGAAGCACGGCTTGGTTTCTTTTAAAATCCATCTAAATACTCTTAGCTTACTATACAAGAAAAAGCTTACACTTAAGTATTATAAGAACCACACCTGAGTACATTCGTACCATGCACTACTACACAGCAATAAAGAGGAACCAACTATTGATACAACTTGGACAGATTCAAGGGCATTAGGCTGAGTGAAAAAAAGCCAATGTCAAAAGGTCATATACTGTATGAGTCCATTTATGTAACATTCTTGAAATGACAAAATCAGAGAGACAGAGAACACATTAATGGCTGCCAGGGATTAGGGAAGGGTGGGGGTCGGGCTGCATAAGGGAAGTCCTTGTGGTGATGAATGTGATTCTGTATCTTAACTTTGGTGGTGGTTATGTAAACCTATACATGTTATAAAATGACCCAGAACTATATACACGCATTGCACCGATGTCAATTTTCCTGGTTTTGATACTGTACTGTAATCATGTGAGTGAAGGGTACCCCCGGAACATCCCTGTACCATCTTTGCTATGAACAAAAATTACTTCAAAATAAAACTTTAATGAAAAAAATTGCATAGAACTATATACACCTATACATTAATGAGGGCACAAAGAACTGGTGAAGTGGGCTGTACCAATGACAGTTTCCTGATTTTGATAGGGTACGATAGGTATGCAAGGTGTTACCACTGAGGGAAACTGGGTGACAGGTACTTAGGATTTTCCTGTACATGTCTTACCAACTTCTTATGAATTTATAATTACTTCAAAATAAAAAAAATTAAGGTTAATGAAAGTACAAGTAAACAAAACATGCATATGCATGCACGTACACATATACACACACGCACGCGCACACACATACCTGAAAAATTGGAAAACAGTCTTGTGTATGAAGAAAATCTGTTTTTGAGCAGCCACTGCTGTGTTTCCTGGGTCGTGGCTGAAGGCTGAAGTTGCTATTAATAAGGAAAATGAACATGAACAGAACAATTCAAACTTACAAAAACATAACCCAAGTCACTGGCATATTATAAAGAACACTGAAACCACAGAAATCCTCCAGGTCTGAAGTAAAAAAAATACCCAAGAACAACATAGATCTGACTACTCAGTGACCCAAACAATGACGCAAGCCCCTGTCAGAGCTTTAAAAATGCAGGACTCTGAAAGCATCTGACAGTTTTAATAACAAGATACTTACTTCACTAGAGGCCTGTGAAACTCCATCTCCCTGATGATTTGGGGAAGAAGAATTGCTGGAGAGAAGGAAAGGAAAGATAATTATTACATTTTATATATATAGAGAGAGAGAGACATTCAAGGCTATTAAACTAGGTAAATTTAAAATGATACGATGTGACAGAGCCATATACATTTGCAGTAAGAATGTTGGCACGACTGGTCGGGGAGTGAATACGATCTTAATCTGTGCCTCTTTCTCTTTTTATGAAATAAAGGGGCTCCAGGGTGATAGGAAAATGAAGGATATTCATTCATTTTAGTTAGGGGGGAAAAAAAAAAAAGAGAAACCAAGAAAGATAAACCATTGAAAATAGCTACAAAAAATTTTAAGAAAACAATGAGCTATAAGAAATGGTATGATAATCCTAAAACAAAATAGAAAATGATATCCCTTTAATTATTTATCTATGACTAAAGACGGTGAAATTCAGGAGGACAAAAGAAACTTAGACCACTATACTTGTTTCTACGGTAAAATGAAAATGAGAAAAACTCCACAAGGAATGTGGCCACCTTCTTGGCCCGGGCCCCGACTCCTTTCTACACACTGGTACTTCAGTTACTTAGGTTCATGATGTTGTTTACCATCGTCCTTCACCCGCTAAAACTTAAGCTCCTCTGACAGGGGTTTGTCTCTCACAGCATCTGACCAGTGCTGGGCATACAGTGGACTCTCAGGAAATATCCAGTCAACTAGTGAATACGTGAACTCACAGCTTGTCTCTAAAATCATAACCATTTTCTAGGGTTGTTCAGATTGGACTGTGAAACTAGAAGAACCCTACTACATAGTAACATGCTGGCCTCCTGGTCTCTCCTGAGTCCAAGAGTGTTTTCCTACTCTTAAAAGCACAATAACCTCAAAAACAAGCTGCCTCATTAGTGTATCCACCATCTCCTCTGAGAAAAGTATGTTGTTTGTCTTCTCATCAGACCCTGTTATGGATTGAATGTTTGTGTTCTCTCAAAACTCGGGTGCTGAAACCCTGTCCCACAGTGTGACATAGTATTAGGAGGTGAAGCCTTTGGGATTCATTAGGATTAGATGCGGTCATAAGGGTGGAGCCCCCGTGAGTAGGGTCAGTGGCCTTCTAAGAGTCAAGAGAGAGTGTGCCTCCAGTGCTCTGCTCTCTACCATGTGAGGATGCAAGGAGTGAGCAGTGTGCCACCCTGAGAAGAATCCTCACTAGCGCTTAACCCTGCTGGCACCCTGATCTAGGACTTCCAGCCCCTGGAACTGTGAGAAATATATTCCTGTTGTGTATGAGCCACCCGGTCTGTAGTATTTTCTTACAGCACGCCTTGTCAGAATAACCAAAGTATAAAGAGAACTTGTTCCTTTGCCATCTTTCATAATTTTCCTTCCCAGCAAGAAACTTCCCGACAATAGGGAACTTCTGATATGACCTACTCGGCACTGGTTCTTCGGCAAAGCCCAGTAACGGAGAGTCCCCTCTGGGCACCACTGCGGCATCTTCAGGATGCCTGAGACACAGTTCCTGCTCCCACCCGGAGCTCACTAGACTGTTGGTTGCATGTCAAGGCCAGATAATAGAATAAACAAAGTCAACCATTTCCGTTTCCAGAACCACAGTAATTCCTTAGAAGTTGAAAGCCCTTCAACATTAAAAATTTAATCGGAAAAAAAAAAATAGTGTATCTACTGGGAGGGAGAAGAAATAGAGCAGAAAATAACCCTTGTTTGATATGGTGAGCATTAAACACAAGCATACTTTATAATAAATGCAGTCTTAACATAGTCGAGTCAGTTTCACCTTAATAACTCTGTCCTTCTCTATCCATGAACTCTATTAATATTCTTTTTATCTCACAAAGAATGTATCTTGAAAATGGCCCCTTTCCTACAATTTCCACAGTTGTGAACGTGTGAGCCAGAAAGGGCTAGGAGCACAAAGGCTAGGAGGTGGAGAAAGATGATTTCCCCCTGAACTGAGGAGGCTATTCCCCATTATCACATACTTCACATATACAACGAGAGGTTACTGTAACTTGACAGAAAGGGAAGTGAAAGGAAGTGAAGCCTCCGGCGCACAATCACACGAGCCAGATACCTGTCTGGGACACTGCAAGTGCTCTGCTGTGGAGAGGCGAACGTGGGCGCTGTGGAAGAGCTGTTATTCACATAGGCTGTGGGGGTGTCGGGCCATGGAGAACACTAAGGACAGAAACAGAAATAAATTAGTGATACGCTTTCAAAGGATATGGAAGGAATGGTTTTGAATTTCACTCTAGTCTGACCAAATGCAAGATTATAAAACACAAGACACCTGACACTCATCAAGCAACCTTGTAGAAACATATCACATTTACTTCTGTGTGGCAAGGAAAATTTTTACTTGCTGTATGCATCTAGACACATTAATCTTAGAGAAGACCTGAAGTGACGATAGCAGCAAAAACTTATGAAGGCGTTTTAGATGTATACTTATGTACAATTTGCTTTCGAGAATCTTCACCTGCCTCTTTATCAATTCTCCAATAGGTGCTTATCAAGGTTTAAGAGTATAGAGGCAAGAAAGGATTCATAAACATGTGACATCACACAGTGACAGGGACAGTGGCTCTGTCCTACCCAGTGCTCCTTTTGCCCTCACCAGTAACTATTTGCTTCCTTGATTTCTCTAAGATTAATAATCCCCAAGTAAGATGAGACAGGCCCAGCACCAAAATACATCAACTACATATGGTACTGCCTATATCTACCTATCTATCTACATGTATTTACTATTCACATATTCTGGAAGGGGCATGGTGAACTAAAATGTTTTTTAGCTCAAGCACAATTCTGACCAAAGATAGAGCAAAGATACAAAGGCACATTGACTATTACAATTAGAAGAGGTGAAAAAGCTAAAGTCAAAGCATGCTGAGCAGGCCAGGGTGGTGTCAAGTACAAGTCTTCGAATCTGAGCCACAGAGGGGTCCATTTCACCCGTGGGTATTCTTTCTAAAACCTGTCTGCCCGAGAATGCCCTTGGTTTCAAGGGTCCTCTTACTTAATCACTTTTCCCATTTAAAAAAAAAAAAAAAATCAAAAGGACTTCTAAGACCTGAATGACCCTGGCTGAAAGTAAAATCAACCTATCTAAAACAAGTTTTTCTTATTTAGTAAAAAAAAAAAAATCTAGAATTTAATTACGGTTTACCCTGTCTTGTCATTCAGGATGTATTTCCAATAACATTTCTATTTTTATATTTATTCATCTAAATTTGTACAATTTGTTGTTTTGATAACTTGGACCAATAATGATAAATTTAAAATCTCTCAATTGATTTAAGAGCTTATGGTTACAGGAAATTAAAAAAATTAAATTTCAATTTATGTAAGTTTGTTGCAAATAAGTAATCAGGGTGATGTTTGAAAGCACCAAAGTATGTCTTACTAGGGTAAAATTATTTAAGGGGAATGAATGAGAAAACGAGAAAAAGAAGGAA